TCCTCAGTGAGATTTGTTAGTATGGCTACACCTCCTAGTGGTTGGCGGGGCACATGATTACCTCTGACCAATGAGGTGTGAATGAAACTGACACGTAGCTTTTGGGCCAGAGCATTTAATTGCAGGAACGAGACCTCCTGAGCTCTCTTACTCTCTGGCACAGCAACCAGTGATGTTTGAAATGGTGGTTCTTCTACTGGCCAGGGATCTTAAGTAACTATGCCCACCACCGACCCAACCTGAGTTGGTTTCCTATTGTTGCTGTAACAAATTACCACCATCTTAGTGGCTTAAAACACAAATGTATTGTCTTACAGTTCTGAAGTTCAGAAGTCTGCCATGAGTTTCACAGGGCTAAAACCAGATGTCAGCAGGGATGAATTCCTTTCTGGAGGCAGGAGGGGAGAATTAAATTTCCTTGCCTTTTCTAGCTTCTAGAGGCTGCTGGCATTCCTTGGTTTGTGGCTCCCTCTTCCATTTTCAAAGCCAGCAATAGGAGATTGAGTCCTTCTCATATCACATCATTCCGAACTGTAACTTCTACCTCTGCCTTCCACTTTTAAGAACCTCTGTGATTACATTGGGCCCCCAGGTAATCCAGAATAAATTTCCTAAGGTCAGCTGACTTAGCAACCTTCAATCCATCTGCAACCTGATGCCCCTGGGCCATGTAATCTAACATATTCACACATTCCAGTTCAAAGACATCTTTTCTTTTGCGGGGGGAGGAGGGTACTCTTCTGCCTACCAATCAAATCAGAATCTCTTGGGGTGACGCCAAAGCCTCGTCGATATCATTTATAGCTTCCCAGACAATTTCACTGTGCTGACAAGGAGGAGAACCAGTGCCCTTGTTGCATATGTGGAGACAATATATTTTAAGTACTCTACTTTTATACTGCCTTTCGTAAGTTCACGTGACGGACATAAATCCCACACATGCACAGAGGAACACATATATACACATCTGCCAGCCTCGTCACAGCCACAGACCCTTCTAATCACATTTTAACCCAACCTTTCGCTCCCCGCTCCGTGACTCCTTGGTCCTCATCTTCGTTCTAGACCCGGCTGCATACACGTGTGCAGAGACAAACGAGGCATTTTCCACGAGTTGCCAGAAGAAGTTGGTTTTCCCTGCGGTGGCCTCCCAGGGGCTGCGGTCAGGCTGGTGGTTTCCAGTGGGCACACTGGCTCCTCAGAAATAGGGCCGAGTCAGCCACTTTCTTTCACAGAAACTGAGGGACTCTCTGAGGATAAAAATTATACCCCTGCTAGGACAGTAATCAGCCTCTATTCCTTTTGTCACAATCAAAAAGGCCATTATATCCATAGGTGTTGTGAACAGCCCCATCTGGATTTTTGACTGTGACCTGATGGGTAGTGGGGAGTCTGGGACACTGGAGAAGGGCCACTTTTTCTGTAAATAGCTCTATTCACTTTACTGACCTACTGAAACATTCTCTTGGTTTTCCTTAAATGACAGAAACAATAGGCTGAGATAAAGGCCAACCATACCATTTTGGAATCCAGTATCAAAACCTGACTAACAAAATACAGTGTACTTAGGACATAACCACAAAGCTGAAGGGTCAAATTAGCATCCATTTAGAAATTCAGCTTCCAATCTTCTCATATAGAATTAAAAAGGGCCTGACCAGCACCAGTAACCGTCCTGTCCCTATGCCAGTGACCAAACCTAATGAGAACAAGGAGCAGCTGGTAGGTGGTGCTGCCAGGGCTGGGAGACCTCCCGTTAAGGCGAACTGCAGGGGTGGCTGGGCGCAGACTACCCAGGTACTGTTCCAGAACCAGGAGCTGCAGGGCTGGTTTACTGGGAAAGCCCCTGGAGTTCATGCTCCAGAGGACAGGGCCTTTTGACAAGAACACAAACGAGAAAATGAACTGACTTGACTAGAGGTGTGGAGACCCCATCGTGGCACTGGCCGTACCTTCAGAGCAGCACAGAGCTGGACCACAGGGGCACGGTTCTGGTGGACAAGGCAGCTGCTTCATGACTCTCCGCTGGTGTGTGCCAGTCTTCGTCATTCTTTCTGACCTTCCGAGATCCCAAATTTGGCCAATCCTCTTTATGTCTCTGTCAACCTTTGAGACTTCCCTTGCTTTCTGACAGAAACTGTAGTGAGAAGGAAGACTACATGTCCGCACAGTGTCAATGCTGGGATCAAGGGGACCGTGTGCTCTTTGAAGAGGCTAGAAAATAATAATTGTGCTCCCTGAAGGACACACAGTGACCGACGACCTCACACACCTATCAGTGAACTACCATCACAAAGGTAGGTCAGAGCCCTTCAGCTGACTTTTCATGTTGGAAGCTCAGAAAAGCAATGTGGTAGGCTGAATAATACACACCCACACCCTGATCCCTGGAATCGGTGAATGCCACTTTATTCCCCTGCAAAGGGACATTGCAGGTGTGTTAATAAATTAAGGATAAAAAAGGGGAAAGGAGTAAGATGTAAAATTACAGCTATAAAAACAGTTGCAGGGATGTAAAGTACAGCAAAGAAATACTGTAATAGTTGTGCAGGGTAACGGGTGGGTACTAAACTTACCGGGGTGATCTCTCCATCGGGTATATAAATATCTAATCACTATGTTGTACACCTGAAACTAATAGAATATTGTAGGCCAACTGTAATTTTAAAAATTTTAATCATAATTAATTAAAGATATGAGATAGGTTATCCTGGGTTATGTGGTTGGGGACTAAATGCAATTACAAGTATCCTTATAAAAGGGAGGCAGAGAGAAATGTGACACAGAGGCAATGTGACAACTGAACAAGATGCTATGGTGCTGGCTTCACGGATGAAGGAAGGGGCCGCAGGCAAGGGGTGCAGGGAATGAGGCTCTAGAAGCTAGAAAAAGGCAGGAGATATGAATTCTCCCCCTAGGGCCTTGGAGGGGACACTAAGTTTCACTTAGTCCAGTGAAACTGATTTCAGACTTCTGATCTTTAGAACTGTAAGGGAGTATGTGTGGTTTTAAGCCACCAAGTTTGTGATAATTTGTTAGAATAGCGGTAGGAAACTAACTCGGGTTTGGCCTGGGCTTTGGGAAGTTTAAAAACTTCCTATGTGATTCTAACACACAGCCATATGGTAACTATGGGACTAGAGAGAAGACAAGATAAGGACACGCTGGCGTGATTGCTTGCTTATGTGGAAAAAAGTGTATGGTAATACCATCTGGGAAGTCAGCAGGTCACCTCACCAAAGAAGGAACCATCAACTCATAACCATGTCCCATAGGTGACTGTACAGTGGCTTGTGGAAGCATATCACAGGGTGGGCGTGCTCCACCAGCATGGCGCTGTTTCTGGTCTGGCCCGCCAAATAGGCCAGATTTCCTTGGGATGAAGAACAATTACACATACGATAGGCAGATTTTCTTCAGAGCTAACATTCTTACCAAGACTGTCTTTCAAGGAAGAAGTTGGCCATAACTGAATTATATGCAAACACATGAATTAGCATCAACAAGCAAAGGACTAAACTGCCTTCCTCTCTATGCTAAAACTAGTTAAACCCACTATTAGGACTTTAGACATGAAGAGCTTCTCCACTTGTTTTGTTAAAAATTATTTTATTGTTGTTCAATTACAGTTGTCTATGTTTACAACCCACCACTCCCCCGACCCTAGCCAAACCCTCTCCATTTGTTTTATTAATCTATTTACTTATAATAGACGATAGATGAAATTTATTTATTTATTTATTTATTGATGAATGATACAGGAATGGAAGAGTAAGTACTGCGGGAACAAATCTCATTCCTCATAGAGTCAAGAAAGGCACTTGCCTGGTTCTGATGGGGCAGCCCGCCCTCCAGAGCAAGGTCCGCCCACTCCTGGGGCTTCAGCGCTCACTCATACAGGACAACTTCACTTGAAAGCTGTTCCTTCACAAGCCCCCTTGGTACTATCACCAAAAGCTAAAACTGCACAACATCTTCCTTTTTATTTTCTCCCCCTACTTTGTCTTCCTCAGAGAGGAAGCTAGTGCAGGAGAAAAGGCGGTCACATGAGACCTGGAAGACCTCAGTTGGAGTTTGGGTTCTGTCACGTGTAGGTGATATGATATTAGGAGGCCCCTCAGCCACTCTGAGCCTTGCCTCTAAGAAACAGAGATAATATTGCCTTCATGGTGTTGATTAAATTAAATGACATACATGCAAGTGCTTAGCACATAGTAGGAGCCTCACTGAAACTCAACTGTCACACCACTTGCTGAAGGTCCTCACATATCATCTTTGGTCACCCCTCCTGAGCTCTGGCACCATGTCTCCCACCATCTACTCAACTCTTGGACTCGGCTCCCTCACTGGACATGTCTAAACTGGATTTACACTCTCCACTCACAAACCAGGGACCCTCCCAATCCCCCGACTGTGCCCATCGCAGTCCCCTGCCTTCCTCTGCTTTCCTCCATTCCTACTGCTGCACAAGAGCTTGTCAGATATGCTCTCCAGTTAAAGCTCTGTCTCTCCCAAGCCATCCTGCTTACGGACTGAAAATCGGTCTTTCTTCGAGCAGATTCATCACATCAAGCCCTGAATAAACTTTCTCGCCCTGCAGCCCAGTATCTGTGACAGAAGAAGAGCCGGCTCCACTGGGCGTGCAGGTGACAGAGCCCCATAGTCTCTGTGGGCCTCATGTCACGTACAACAAACGCACTGGGTAATTTCACCACATTCCACAGAAGGAAAAGCTCTTAGAATAAATGCATCATAAAACACAGTATTTTCAAAGTAGCTCCAGGGACCTGGAAATTTTAAATCAAATTTCTTTACATAGGATTTAGTAATAACCACAATCTGAATCTGCCACAAACCACACTCGATTGCATTAAATATAATAATCCACTGATATTAAATCACTTTTCATGTTTTGTAACATTAAAATAATTTAACAAACACTCAAGCCTTCAGTATTCACACTAAATGGCAAATTTGGTCTATCTCAGACATGATCCTACCATTTTGTTCATCCAGCTCATTGCCAATCTCTCGCCCCATTTGCTTTTGGCGACTGATGATAGAAGAAAGGGCATCAAGGCCTGCGTCCTGTTCTGAAAGAAAGAGGAAAACAACCAACTGAGAACCAAAGGAAAACAACTTAGTCCAGCAATATACTCAGGCATATAACACAATTCAATACATGATAAAAGAAACATTTTAAATCAGTCCAAAAAAGAGAGAGAAAACAATTAACATTACTGGAACAAAACAGAGGAAAAAATTAAATATCTACCTCAATCCTTAACCTGATTTCCAGATGAATTAAAATTTCAAGTATTAAAAATGAATATAAGGTTTGAGTATATAAATATTCAAACTTTCAAATACTTAATACATACAGAGCATGTACAGATCAATAAGAAAGACTTAATCTCCCAATTTATAAAATGCGCAAAGGACACAGACAGGAAATGAAAACGAAAGAGAATGCTCATACCCAGGTTAACCAAAGCATGGTGCTCCCAAGTTCTGTGTCACGGGAGAACAGTTAAGACACCTTTCTAGAAGAGGGAACCATGACTGTCTTTCATCTATCAATTCTGTGTCTAGGAATATATGTATGTAAGACAACATTCAGGCAGTATGCAGGACGTATATACTCTGACATTCCTTGAAACACTGCTTCCTGTGCTAGCTATCCATTTATTGCTTCTCAGCTCCAAACTGACCCTTTGTGCTGGTCAGTGAGAATGGACCTGGATCCTCCCAATATCTTCTCCTTTGCCAGCTCTGTCAGTAGAGGGACGGCGGAGACATCACAAGAGGAAAAGGTGTTGCTTCCTGCCTCTGGCCTGCTGGGCCCGGACAGGTGGCTGCAGAGGTGCGGCTGCCACAGTGTGAGAGGCCGCAGCTTCTGCCAGTGCCCCCTCCTTGGGCAATTTCGTAACAGAGGGCCTTCAGTCCAACTCTTGCCCATGAAGAGTATTCCCTGTGCCCTAGAGAACAGATTCTAGCAAATTCCACCAGCTTGGCTACACAGCATAGTCACTTCTCTGAAATCGTTACTCTAATTCCCTATTAGACTTAATAATTCTACACAATGCACTTTCTCTGTTCAACTTTCTTTCTCCTAATTGGACCCATACTGATACATTTACACTAGTGAAAAACTGGGAACTATCCAAATCACCAAATACAATGATTTGCTTAAAAATATAATAAAGTCATATAATAAAACACTATATAACCATTAAACGTAATATTGTCCATGTATATTTTGATGTTGAAAAAACTCCACGATATGTTATTAAGTAAAAAAACAGGACATAAAACAATAAATAGTAAAACAGCATTTTAAAAAGTATTGCTTTTCTAGATTTTGAAAATTTAAAGAGAAAAGAACTCAAGTTACTCAAAGTCTTTTCTTTAAAATCTGATATTCGTTTGTTCTTTGTTTCTTTAACTAGGTAGTCTCGGGAATTTCTCTGTAAGAAATTTTTCCTTTGCTTCCAGGTGCATCTGGAAGAACATCCTGAGGCTGGACTGAAGGACTCTTTCTACCCCAGCAATATGTCAGATGAGGTTAACCTGCCAATTGTGGCTGCATTTGTTGATGGGGTTTTTAAAATGACTAATTCACATAAAGGCTTATCTACAAAAGCAGAAATCACAAAGGTATTCTTATCCAGGATCATGTTAACATTTACTTATATTTTTTCCTAATCTTTTTATGAAAGTAAGCCATTACACTTAACTCATTAATTCATCTGGAATTTATTTAAACTAATGGTGTGAGGTAAGGACCCCTTAGTGACATTTTTTGACACTACATATTTTTTAAACTATACAAATGACTTGCTTTCTCCAGGGATCGTTCTAAGGGACAATTTTACAGCAAAATCTCTTTATAATGAGGTCCTTTTGGTCTTTAATATCAACCTCTTGGAAGGCCTCCAAGATAAATCTATCATCAACCTAGTACCGCTATAGGATGACCAATATTATAGTAAAATTCCAAATGCATCCCCCAAATAACCTGTACATATAGGACTGAGGGTCAAGTGTCTATGATTAAAAGGTAAAATGATTTAAAAGAGGAAAGGCGATTCCTCTACAGTTTCCAATTAGGAAAAGAATCATTAAAGTTATGGAGCTGCTTTATCTAGGAGCAACACAGGCTAGGAATGAAAAATGCCTACACTGTAGTCTTTTCTCTGGACCTTGCTTCACTGTACAGTTTAAACTATCTAAAAGTTGTGTCTAATGCAAAACAGAAAGAGGGCTCAAAATTCTGCTCCACTCAGATCATTTCTATAAAAACTCAGAAGCTCCTCGCTCTGCTTAAGTGCTACAACAAATTTTTATTCCACAATCCAGACACAGGCAGTCGAGAGAACTAAGACCCTGAGCATGCAGTAACGACACTGACGACCAGAGTGTCTCCAAGTTCTAAAGCAGTGCTTCAAGGGCAGGTGCTACAGTCGTCTTAGAGACAGTGAACAAAATAAAATGCTGCCACTTGCACAGATATAAACAAGGAAGAACCTTGCAGACAGTCATACAAAACCATGCAAAACTATGATGTCATAACTAATAGCTCACTACTGTAACCTGCCCTAACCTATCACATATCCCAAGTCATTATATCACAATAGAGCATCTGCAACATTCCACGCTCTATTAATCATTCTTCAATTTTTTAATGATGTTAATTTTTTAAAAATGGATGACCGATGTGGTATGGAGAATAATGGCCTCCTAAATATGTCCACTTCCTAGCCTCTGGAACCTGGGAATATATTACCTTACTCAGCAAAAGGAACATTGCGGTTGTGATTAAGATTAAGGCATTTGAAATGGGAAGGCTGTTCTGGATTATCCAGGTGGACACAAGGTAATCACGAGCCCTTAAAACAGAGAACCTTCCCCAGCTGCGGTCACAGGGAGACATGAAGAAGGATGTGAAGAATACAAGCAGCTGGCTTCAAAGACTGGAGAAGGGAACCCTGAGTCCAGGATGTTGCTGGCCTCTAGCTGGAAGAGGTGAGCATATGACCTCTCCTCTGGAGCCCCCATCACCCTGTCCACACCTTGGTCCTGGCCCAGTGAGACCTGGAGTGAACTTCTGACCCACAGATTGTTTGATAACGAATTTGTATTTAAGTGAATAAATTTATACTAACTTATTATGACAAGCTAGAAAACTAATACAATCATTTTTTGAAAATCGCTTGGGAATAATTAGGTGTTTGGAGCCTTTCTATCTTTAGATGTTCAGAAAAACCATCTTCTAAGCAAATACCATGTAATTGTGGGAGGCCTATCTAGTGACTATGGATGAAAAACAAAGGGACAGTCATCATACTGTATTCTCACCAAAAATAACAGACTTGATTTTGATCAGGCCACTAAATCTAACTACCAATTTACAGAAAATATGTGGGGCAGAGGGAAATTTTAATATATGGGCAAATGAATAGCAAGAGCTAGATGATGGGAAACTACATAGCAAATGACCCAGTTTCTTCAACCAAGAAATTGCAAAAAAAAAAAAGAAGGAGTTGGCAAAGGAACCTATCTATTAAAGAAACTGAAGGGACATCAATTAGTTGCAATGTATAGACTACATTCAGATCCTGAATTGAACAACCTAAAAAAAACCCACAAAAGCAAACATCATGGGAAAATCAGGGAAATCTGAATGCTGGATGTTTGATTATATTAAGGAATTGTTAACTTGTTAAGGGTGAAAATGACGTTGGGATTATGTTTTTTAAAACCAGTTCTTATCTTTTAAAAACACACTTCAGAAATATATTCTGGAATATTCACCAATGAAAGGATCTAACATCTTGTAACAGAGTGCAGCCAAGAGGGGGGCCCCAAAAAAGGATTTGGGATGGGGTCCAGAGCTCAGGGTGTCCAGGAAATATTAAGATGTCCTCACCCCCCCACCCAGGGGAAGGAACAAATGGAGCAGGGCCATTGAGAGCTGTTTTGCATAGCAACAGTTTTTGCAGCTAACCTCTGGAGTGATTATTTAACATATCTATAACCTTTAACTGGTTTCATAGATATGTTAAATAGCTGTGGCCAAGTTTTGAGCCAGGGAGAAGGGAGTGGCTTCGACCCAGGATGTAACTAGGGGCTGCTCCCCTGAGTGAGTGCCTGTGTAAGAGCTTGGAAAAGATCGGCTCTAGGACATGAGGGCATAACTGCCCAGGTGAAGAGAGAGCCACTCGGTTTGGGGCAGAGTGAGGGTCCCCTTTTGGCCAGGTGAAAGGGAAAACCACGCAGCTTTGCCAGAATGGAGATTCTGCAGGGGCAGCCAGGTGAAGAAGAAAGACACATGCTTTTGGTGGAGTGTGAACCCCTGCAGCTTTGGTAGAAGAGGCCCACGCGGCCTTGGGGTGCCCCCTTTGGCCACATTGCCTGGAAAGCAGGAGAGACTTTGACTGGAACTGGGTACAAAGAACTCTTGCCAGTGGACCATGAGAGGGTACCGCAGTACTTTGGATTAACTAGAGATCCTGCCTGACACAGCTGACGATACCAGTGGCCTGAAACACAGACGTGTGCTTCTTTTCCTGAGATACGGTACCCCGAATTAGGGCAGCGGGGAAGGAAGCACTGTGGGCATCTGTGGTTCTCTTAAAGGACTTTGAGATGTGCCCATGCAAAACAGGGTGTGGCTCCTCACCTCCCCGCCACCGATTCACATGGAAATATTTAAGGGCCTAAGGACACTGAAATCTAGAACATGAAACTTTCTGCTAGAATCTAGGGAAAAAGTCTATAAAATAACAGTTAAGAATAGATGGGGCTAATACTGAAACCGTGATACAGGGTGCAGCCAGGGGGGCCCCCAAAAAAAGATTTGGAAAGGTGTCCAGAATTCAAAGTGTATAGAAATATTGGAGAGACATATAAGATGTCCTCACCCCCCCTCCCCCAGGGGGAAGGGATGAATGGAGCAAGGCCATTGAGAGCTGTTTTGCATAGCAACAGTTTTGCAGCTAACCTCTGGAATGATTATTTAACATATCTATAACCTTTAACTGGTTTCATAGATATGTTAAATAGCAGTGGCCAAGTTTGGAGCCAGGGAGAA